CTAGTTACCTTCTAATTACATGTCCAGACATCGTCGAAGCATCTGCACAAGAAGCCGACATGTCAACCTGAGATCGAGCACTTCAGTCCAATCAGTCGGTGAGAAAATCTAAAATTCAATTAAATAATAACAGTTGATAAGTAAGACATATTACCATCGTAGATTTGGAGTGAACATCATTTCCCTCTTTGCATGGAGACCGGGTTTATAAACTCCATTTTCGTAATGGCGAACATCTTTTTGCTTGCTTGTCTGCTCAGAACAGTGAATGACTTGAGAGCGTCAGTACCATATCCGTGGTTTACAAGGTGCTTTGTTATTGAACATCGACTTCAGTTGTTCTTAACCACTTCGGCAAATGCGCTATCATGCGTGTAGACAATTGCCTTTACATACCAGCTATGTATATGCTTCACTAAACACATCCAAACTGATATATGCAGTTTAAAATGTCAAGGCTCGGCGACCGGTCTATCCTAACCAAATATTTCCTTATTATCCCACTTATCAGAATCTATACCAGCAAATACTCAAGAAGCTCATTTAAACAGTATTTCTTTGTGAATTCACACTTCAAATGTTATCTAAGAGACTATTTAGTTTGCCTTCCGAAAAATCTGAGCTCAAAAACAATTAAATTATAGAATCATGTTTATATGTGAGTGTGTGATAATCGTCTAATTTATTTGTAACTCGATTTCTAGACAAAAATTCAACTCACTTGACTACACACAATCGTTAATTAGCTACTCGGTCACATGGAAAGTGACGATATAACACTGAGTAACTGAAGATAACTATTAAGTATGAAGGAACCATAGATATATTTTGTTTTTAAAATAATAAGTCTTCTTCATAGCTTCAGCATTAAAGAACATATTCTAGCAGCTGCGTGTTCTTAGATATCCTTAAATATAATTTTTTAAACTAACAGTGTTCATGATCTTATTAGAATCTTTTCTGTATATTCCTAGATCTCACCTTTGTACTTCAAAACGTAAATTTTTAGTCATAATCGAACTTATAACATAATCTCAATAGTAGGTAGCTTAGTTTTTTGAGTGGGTTAAAAATAAACCTTTAGTTATTGCCCACGGATTGATTATCCACCTTGTTCTATTGACAGCTAGTAATGCACTTTTATCTACTGTGCCTATCTCAGTAGGATGATTAGTTTGACTGCTCTGTGATTTACTGAAGGCAGTTGACTCAGTTTCTAATTTCAGTTTTTCAATCTCACTTACTGTAATAACTACAACAGACTCATTTTAGTCTGAACGCAGAGTACTAGTCTTTGCGCCCTATTGTATGGCTGACCGAAACTTCTTTGAGAAAGGCACAGTCCCGAAAAGCTCCAAAGACGGCAAAAGACGATTATTTGTCAATAAATCTATATGTGGCTCTTAACAGTGCCGTTAGGCAGCTGTGCAGACAAGTTAATTTTCTCAGCACAAAGCAAGTACTAAGAATCAGGTGGATTATTCTCAGCATGGTGAGCTCAAAAATTCTGTCTACAAGAATCATACACTAACGCTTCCCAAAGACAGTCCAAGATCAGAATCAGCGTCATTCAGTCAAATAAAATCACATAGTAAAACAACACATTATCAGTGTAGAAACAACCACAAAGAGAAGCGTTAAAACTAGAGATTCAACAGGAACAGAGACAAATAATAAGGATTTGGTCAACATATAATATATCAATATCAGTACAGTGATATACAGTGTAGGAGAAAGATGGATGATAAATACAAATTTGGTTGTAACATCCAAATAAGTACCAGTATAGTAAGTAAGATCGTTCAGGAGGGATTTTCCAAACAACTATCCCGTTACATTTACTATATTAGTTTTTTATGCGACAATATTGTATTCTTCTCAGAAAGCCAGTCTACTGAGAAGCTCTAGTGCTGTTTTAAAACAATGAGGAATGACCAAACTGTGTAAACAGTGTCTTTAAGTTACATTAGTACCACGAAACGACCATCAGCAAAAGCCATTCACAAAACATTATCAATGAGTAATACTGCATGTCTTTGTGGCATATAAAATAAATTGATTATTCTGTCACGAAATTATGCTGTACAATCACACCAAAATGTTACTTTTATACACTAAAATTACATTTTAAAATGAACATAAATAAAGACTGCTAAGTCACTGAAAAGTGTGCGTCGGTGGCACAGCGGTAGAATGCTCGCCGACCGCGCATGTGGTCCAGGGTTCGATCCCCGGCCGACACACTCCTTTACCTCACTAAGCCAGTAATAAGACTGGTAAAGAGGGAAGGTTGGGCATGAGGCTAGCAACCTCATCCCGTAAAAATAATCTCCACTGCTACCGAGACTTCAAGTCCCTAGCTTGAAGCCCTATGTTCCACTGGGAACGTAAAGGAATAAAAAAGGTTACTGAGAAAGGATTACATTTGCGGATAATAGATAAAATGATGGTCCCGAAAGAAAAAAAGAAGTTGAAACGATTCATAAATACATTTACCCCAAAACACCCTGGAAACAAAAAATACAGAATTCAACAGTCAGAGGATTTTTATATAACTTCCATATGCTATTGAGCAACATAAAACTGATCAGTTTCTTTAGAAGTTTAAATCAGTTTCAATTGATTTGATATAATAACTTCACTGAGCTAGATAGAGTATGTTCTCATACGGGTAGAAAATAAGTCTCAGAGCTCTGAAATTATAATTTAATTTCTTCAGCAGGCAATTATTTCATGGGACATTTTTGATGAGGTAGAGGTGTTTTAAAGATTGCAGATTACACTTTCAAATCAGCTAACTCTTCTCACCTCATTTATATTTAACCGTAAGAATGCTCAAAATCATTCAAATAAAATCACTGCGACAGTCTCTCCCTACATTAAAAATAACCAGTTAAAAGAGGAGTGATGAGAAAAGTCTGAAGCCTTAAAGTTTAACTCAAAACAAATCCTAAAGTATTCAAATGTTGGTTCGTAGGGATTTGATTGGTCACAGGATTTTCATCATGAGCTGACATTAGTTAGAGAACTATTGGAAAACCTGGGAGTACTGGACAGCTGTTTCGTCTTAGTTTGGGACTCTTCATCAGTACGCACCCACCGGGATTTGAACCCAGGACCTTCTGGTTACAAGGCGAGCTCGTATACCATTAAGCCACTGGGGCCCGATCCAATGGCCCATGAATTCTAACTTCTGCCAATTCACGACATAGCGCGACCGCTAGCCTAAATCCTAAAGTTTCTGGAGGTTGGCGAGGTAAAGCGTGGAGTGAAATTTCCTTGAGATTTCACAAAATGTGTTGAAAATGTGAAGACTGGTCACACTAAAGTAAGAAGTATAATGTACTAACTGTGAGCCAAAGACATAACTAAAAAATAAATGAGAGATGGACGTTTTATTTTTCATTGCCCGTCTTTCATATCAATACCTTTTAAACTGACTGCTGTGTAAAGTGAAAAGCGTTCAAGGACACTGAACAAATGAAGAGTTATGTAGTCTCAGGACAGGTTTTCCTTCTCTCTCAGAAGTGCTATAGATAAACACCACTTTTTCTGAAACATTTAGAAATTCCCTTCAGTGTTTTTCTGAACATACAAAACCACACTATTCTGTATTATTATTCCATTAAATCACCAGATGCTTAAATATACATGACCTCATCTAAAATGAATTTAAGTGTGCAAAAAATCTGTCTTACCCCAGTCTGTTACTATAGTCTGTATGTTTGACCTAAGAAGTAATCAGATTTAGTTTTTTTCTCTACACAATTGATTTATTACTAACAGACCAGAATATATTCCACTTCAGAATACTTATAAATCAATACCTCTTTTGGTTTATATTTTAACTTTATTTTATATACCCAAATTTATTGTGAAGCATTCGATTACAATCAAGGCTAGTTGTCATTCCCCTATTTTAGGAATCTGTGTGCTTCACAATGAATTAACCTGCATAATTACATACTGAAGATATCCTTCTTATATGTAAGCTCATGATCACCTTTCCCTTCAGTATAAGTTGTCCTTTTCATTTGGTTAGCTACCTCAGCATCTCGTATAACTGCTGTTTATTAGTGTCTGCAGCATTTACCGCAGTATTTATTTCCAGGTTGATGAGTTTGATTTAAAAACACTTATGAACATATGTGAATTTAATGTCTGATGTAAAAATGATAAACCTCTTGTACAACATTCGTTGGACAGGTTAATTAGGTGGTTATGCTTATAGCGCCAAACCATCTGACGACCAGTTAGCGTCAGCTATCAAATCTTCCGAGCCCAACTTGTGACTAGAATATAGAAAGTGTTAGAGCCTCTGAAGCAAGTTCGAATCCATTAGTGAGTCTTAATCTCATTATCTAGTCCATACATTCAACATCCCGTAATAAAATAGAGTGTATCTTACTCCGCAGGTGTATTATCTATCTGCAGTTAGTGCAATACACGGATTCCCAGTACAAGATATCAGTCTCCTTACATTTGCTATTTATTTTAACATAATATGTGCATTTAACCTCTGATATACATAGATCTATGCTGCTACAGACCTGAAGAATGTAGAGCGTCATAATGTTAGACGATACAAAAGTACTTTAAATGCACCGCCAAATTTTTATATTTATTTATTTTAGTCCTTTGCATTCCGAGTGGAACACAGGGCTTCAAGCCCGAGCTTTGAAGTTCCAGTAGAAGTAGTGTATCTATTCCCGCCTAACCTAACCCCTTTTGTCGAGCCTACTGATGTCTAAGTGAGGTTTAGGAGTGCTTCGGAAGGAAATCGAACTCCGGACCACATCCATGGTTGGCAAGTGTTCTGCTACTGAACCACTGATGCACTCCCGACTTAGTCAGAGACTATTACTAGAGTCCGAAATAAATGTTTATAAGGCCTTAATCTGTACAACTTTAGAAGCTCTAGTCATGTATTGCATTTTACATGTTTATGAAGCTAATTTTGCATAATAATGTGACTTCTTTTTAATATTTTTTTCAATCAGATTGAAGGAACACTCGACAATAATGTGTATCCTATAAAAAGAAACCTCCCGTCGAATCAAAGAAATGAGCCTAATATGAGGTAATTAAAAATGTTTCTTTGTATCAGTAAAAATTATACACTTGCGAATTTTCTACAAATTCGAGATGGACTTCATAAAAACTGCTTATTAATTGATTTCCCATTCACCAGGTGCAAAAATTCGTAATAAAACCTGAAACTATTTACTAAAGGCAATTAATGATTGGATTTGCTTTAACTGGAAATAAGTTAGTTTTAGTTAAGAAGATCGTCTGAAATTCTACAGCCTACACTTTAACCATTATTTCGCGGATTCTTTCAACTGCCTGCAAGCCCTAAACAATACAGAAATATAAATTGCGAAAACGATTTGGAAATAGCTTTTTTCGATATAAAAAAGAGTAATTGATAGGAACTACAGGTGGTTCAGCGGTAGAATCCTCGCCAACTACACAAGTGATGCAGGTTCGATTCTTGACCGTTGCTCTCTTAAGCCTCGCTTAGTGCTTAGTTGGTCTGGTAAAGAGGTATTGTTAAGCGTAAAACTAGCAACCCCACTCAGTTAAAACTACCCCCCCCACTTGGTGAAACTTCAAAGCTCAAATGTGAGACCCTGAGTCCTACTCAGAACACGAATTAATGAGAAAAAAACTAATTATCATAATTGCAGAATGATGTAAGTTGTTAAATTATTACGAGTTAAAGAAACTGAATATTTGTGGAATAACTAGACTGATATTCATGCAAAAGCAGAGTTCAAAGTTTAACCAGAAGCAGTGTCAGTAAAATAGGTTAAGAAAATGGATAATATAAAACATAGAAGACAGGACGTCAAGTAAACATGGGGAAGATAAAAGTTATGAAGATTTCAATCAAGCAACAACAACAAGTACCAGTCAGCATCAGCTGGAAGTCACTACTTTCACTTATCCAGGAAGTACCGTTTCATCTACAGGCGGCATGCACAATGATAATTTTTTTGTTTTTGTAATATTTGGAAATCTATTCCAACAGTTGGTGTGATTTGTTCAAAATATTACCGAAACAAAAAAAAAGTTTATCACTGTTTGTAAACTATTGAAATATAATTATAATTAGCTGCAGACAGTCATCAACAGCTGTCTTCACTCCATACTGAAAATCACATGGCCTATTAGGAAGGATTATCAATAAGGAACTGTGGAAATCAATCAACCAAGATTATATTGCCCAACAAACATAGCGGAGAAAAGAAGATGGATCGGACTTACGCTGAAGAGACCAGTGAGTGGCGTCGTGCGCCAGGTCCTAGAGTAGAACCCGAATGGAAAGCAACAGATTGGGCACCCGAGGGGATGCGGAAGAGATAAAAGCTTATGGACAATCGTGGAGCTAGCTAGAAAAGACTGTATAGAACAAGATGAAGTCGGAATGTGCTGCTGAAGCTCGTAGCCTAAGGGAATACTAATATTTATTATTATGAAACTATGAATATAATTTTAAGCGACATATAGTTTACTCAAACATAATGCTGAAAGTTCTGACTTTAAATATCCACAAGCGGTGCAACCAGTCAATAAATTCATTTAAAAATGTAGAGAAATGGTTATCTTGAACAGTAGAAAGATTTTCTGTATCAACAGTTATAGCCTTGTGTTACAGTGTGTTTCTCCAAAGGGGAATACGTTTAATTTTATGTGAACTCATAATAAATGCCACTAAATACTGTGGACTTAATAAAACTATAATCTACATTGTGGCTTCATTTACCTTTATGACCAATACGAACGGTCACCCGATAAAAAAACTAAAAATATTCAACAGCGAATTAATAATACAGGTATACAAATTTATCCGACAACATTCAATACATTCTAATGAATAGTCTCAGATTATCTGGGTTACTCTCTAAGGATACAGATTGGTATATATATTTTTGAGAAGAGGTTATGATAGCTCATCTATCTTCCCAAAATAAAATTTTCATGCGTTAGTGTATCAACAAAACTTATTCTTATTTTAGTAGGTTACATTATGGATATAAGGATAAAACTTGGGCACTGTGGTAATAACTCCATTATGGACAAAATTTTATTTTGATAAAAACACAGTGTTATACAGTAAGTAATATTCACTGATGACCACGTTCCACGCACAACTTATTGCTCATAATCATATCAAGGTACTCACTCCCACAACTTTCTTGCTTCATTTATATACATGAGTAAAAATTGATCAGACATTTGAATAAAACCAATATACGATAAAGTACATTCGGAAATAATATTGATGTTATCAATAAAGTACAATAATATGGGAAATAGGATGTTATTTATGGTTAAATAAATAACTTGTTAGAATGTCATAATTTGAATTAGATACACTTTAACATTATTTATTATTCTCCAATTTGATTGATAATAATATCTTCCATACCTCTGATATTAGCGATGATGAGTCACTTCTGTCGCATGTGTTGAGTGTAGAATCTATGAACCAGGACTCAGTAATCAACCTCTCTCTCAAGCTACTTATACAGCTTTTTAGAATTTTGACTCTCTCCCACCCTTTGTGTAGTTGTGTGTTAATGCATGCAGTGCGATTGCTGAGTTCTTTTCTAAATTATTTCTCTTCATGGGATCAATCATTCTAACCCTCGCTAAATTCTTATGTTCCGACAGTCTGAGTACCCCCGACCTACTAGTTTGACCTATGTAGTTGACTTAACTCACAGTCATTGCAGGGTATTTTGTAAATTATATTATTTTGTTTAATTGGGTCCACCGAGTCCTTTAGCCTACAGAGGTTGTCTCTGAGTGAGATTGTAGGTTTGAATGCCACCCTAATTCTAGCTTTATTGATACTCCTACGTAGGGTCATGTGATAACATTCTAACAAGTTATTTATTTTACCATAAATAACATCCTATTTCCCAACTTATTGTACTTTATTGATAACATTAATATTATTTCCGAATGTACTTTGTCTTATATTGGTTTTATTCAAATGTCTAATCAATTTTTACTCATGTATATAAATGAAGCAAGAAAGTTGTGTGAGTGAGTACCTTGATATGATTATGAGCAATAATTTGTGCGTGGAACGTGGTCATCAGTGAATATTACTTACTGTATAACACTGTAATTTTATCAAAATAAAATTTGTCCATAATGAGGTTATATTATGCTTAAAAATCTTACAAAACGTACACTACAAATTATTAAATACTCACCTTTTTTACCAACTTTTTAGATTTTACCCAGAATAAAAGCACAGCAAATTCAGAAATCGCCAACATGTGGTTATCAAAGAATAAATTGTAACTATATCATGCAATGATGAAAATTCTCACAAAATCTTTCATATCCCTGTTTCTCAAATAACAGGATATAAAGTAAACATGATTCACAACTTTCACAGTCTTTTTAATTTCAACTAATTTCACTATTTTTTTGTTTTTCACAGCATTCTTATAAATAATAGCATAAATTCTAAATGATCACTTTTGATTTTATCCTTTTTTGTTTTCTTTTCAAGAACTTGTTATATATTTTGTTGTTTTGTATCATATCTTCTTCTTGTTATTAGAGTATCACAATGAAGAGCTAACCAAAGATAATAAGTTGACATTCATATCTGTTTGTTTTTTCTCGCAAATCTATTTTAGTTTGAATATAATCTAATATTTTGAAAGGCTATCTCCTCACTATCATGTATTTACTTCTTATTTTAACTCGGATACTGGTGCAAACACTCGTTCTTTTTTACGATTAGTAGTTGTATTACTGAAATCTTGTTTAAGTAGTCTAATGCATATTTGAGAAATTTCTAAAGGTGAGTGCTTTTCACAATATTCACTAGTCATCGGTTAGTAATTCTGAGCAACCAAACTGGTCATCAGGTGAGTAGGGTTAAATTATTTCCCTAAGCTCATAATCCTGGAAGAATCAATGGTAAAGTCTTGTTTTGTTAGAAACCACTAAGACTTTCGACTAATTAATTCACATGAGACAAAACAAAGTCTGGGAGATATTCAAATAAGAAAAAGATGAAGAAATGATTAACTTTGATGTGACAAGCTTAAACACTTAAGTTGCACTTAGTAAAACTTTAGAAGTACTTATTAAGAAGTTGCATACTGATCTTGGAATCATACCCAGAATTAAGTTATTGGTTGAGGAAATAACTTCTAAAGTCTTCAAATATATATATATATATATATATATATATATATATAAGTGGATAATCAGAGTGGCTGTGAAATCACAGTAGTAGCGGAAGTCTTATGGATATTTGGGAACATAAGACTTCTGAGATATAATGGATTTAATATGGAAGAAATATTTGCAGTATAGACAAGACAGAAGTTACTACTTAAAATAACTATCCCCCGCGCTTTATATAGAAATTTATAAGGACCAATAAGAAATTAGTAATCACAATAATCAGATTATGACTAAAAATGGATTTAAGCATAGCATGTAAGGAGAGGACTTCTGAAACCCCGTGTAGGACTCTTATTGAGACTAGAATTTGAGTAGTATTTAAACGCACAGACTCACTCAGAGACAAATTTACTGGGTTTATGGATCCCATTGATTTAATTAAACAAAAAAATTCAACTTTTTCAATGCTATGAAGCCAAATACATAAATCCAACCAATAGATCGGGATCAGTTCTGTTAATGTAGAATGGTAGACCAATTAAGAAACATAATCTCGAAAGTAAACAGATATTACTATGTATCTAGTTGCAAAGTAATTATACAGTTGGGTGAGGCAGGTTAAATGTAAATAAAAAGGTAATAAAAGTAAATGAAAGAAGAGTTTAGTCACTAAATATTTAGCCATTTAGTCAACAACCTACACATATCGTATCAATAACAGGAGGATATATTTCTTTATAAAGCAACTTAAGAAGTTATATAATTAATTGATATAGCTATGAGCGACAAATTCTCACAGTTACTAGAGATGTATCTCTGCATTATACAAAATAAACTCATCTAGCACATAATTAAATACTATTTACGTCCATTGCAAGTGTAGCGATTGAACGAACTTCTTCTGTATGCAGAGTTCAGGACTTAGCAAGTGAATCGCCATTGCTTCTGCAGTTTGAAGAAGTCTGATTCGTACACCTTTAGGGAGACCACCTCTTACTCTGTAGACGACTTTGAAGTTTGTTTGCGGTGTAGCTTGGTGTCCGGATTCTATCAGATGTTCTAAGATGGAACTGCGGGGGCATCGATTTTCTCCTTTGTAAAACCATGCTGGTAAGTGCTCGGTGATACGTTTGGAAAGCGAGCGCTGGGTACGGCCGACATACCTGGCTCCACACGAGCAGGTGAACTGATAAATGCACATTGATGAGGCCAGCAGCAGTAGCTTATCCTTCACGTTCACATGAATCATAGGTTTTGTGGAGAAGGTTAGTCGTAGTTCAGCTGTGAAGAAGGTCTTCTTAAGTGAGCGCGACAGTCGATTTTTTAGTGTTTCCGCAGATAGATCTCCATTTAATTGGAGGTTCATGTAGAGTAGTTTTTTCTTGACGCTGAGTATGGGCGGCTTTTCTGGTCTAGGATTCATAGATTTTGCAATAAATCTTTCTGGACAGCAATTCTCGACGAGGATTCTCTTGAGGTTGTCCAGTTCATCTTCTACGGTGTCCGGGGTGCAGATTCTGCGAACTCTGTAGCTGAGTGAACGGATCAGGTTTCGTTTGGTATATAGTGGTACCCAACTGTGAAAGTTAGTAAGCTGTCCGTTCCACGTCGATTTTCTGTGGATAGATCTTCTCAGTGTTCCATCCTGTTCTCTTCTGGTTAGTTGGACGTCAAGGAAAGATATTGTGGAATTGGACTCTTTCTCCATCGTGAACTGAATTGCAGGGTGGCAGTTGTTAAACGACTTTAAGATGTCGTCTAGATTTTCTTCGTTGTTGACGATAATGAAGGTGTCGTCGACGTATCTTTTATAGATTTCGAAGGTATTGATCATTTTCTTCAGGCATGTGTTTTCGAGTTTTGCCATGAAGAAATCTGCAAGCAAAGGGCCTAGTGGTGAGCCCATAGCTATACCATCCTTTTGGCGATATATTTCGTTGTTGAAAGAGAATTGAACATTCAGGGTACACCTCAGTAGGAGTTCTTTAAGATGCTCGGTGGGTATACCGATGTTTATTCCTTTGGAGTGAATAAGTTCGCATATATAGCATATTGTTTCAGTCAGTGGAACGTTTGTGAATAGTGATGTGACATCTAATGAAATCATTGTCTTGTTGGATACGTTAATGTTTTCGATTGAGTCAATAAAGTCGAATGAATCTCGAACTGTGTGGCAGGAAACTTGTTTTCTGATTGGTTCAAGTAGATCTGCTAACCATTGAGCTGTGCGGTGATAGGGTGAATTGGTCATGTCGAGGATCAGTCGAAGAGGGATACCCTTCTTGTGTACTTTCGGGAGTCCGTAAAGTCGTGGTATATTTGAGCCAGACGGTCTAAGGGATTCGAACATTTCGTTGCTGATGAAGGATTCAGTCTTCAACTTACGAAGGGTGTCCGTTAGCTTTTGTTCGGTCTTATCAGTCATGTTTTTCTCGTTGATCGGTTTTATGAATTTGCATTCATCGGATAGTATAGTCAGCATTTTACTGATATAGTCCTTGCGATTCATGATTACGATTCCTCCGCCTTTATCAGGACGTAATATCATAATCTCTTCGTTTTTCATAAGTTCTTTCAGCTCCTTATGGTGCCTCTTCGTCAAGATGGACCTTCCGTTGTGTTTGGTATTTATAAACTTGTGACAACAGTCGAGGATTGATGCTTTGAACTGTTGTAGGTTTTCGTCTGATGTAAGTGTGAGATCGTAAGTTTGGTTTATTGGATTTTCGAACTGAACATGGCATTGTAGCTTGTCAATACTTGGTGGTTTTATGCAGAATTTTGGACCTAGAGATAGTGCCTCTAGTTGAGTAGTAGACAGTGTGATGTCTGAAAGATTGAATACGTACTTTTCTGGAATGCTTGGGAACGGAGATTCGGTGTTAATTGTAGGCTTTAGGCTTTTGAGAAGATCTGCTTTAGTCTTGTTACATTCTTTCTGAGTGACTTGTTGTACATATTCTTCGAAGGAAAGGCGTAGTTCTTGATCTAAGTCTTCGACTACATGAGTTCTTGAGTAGACGTTTCGCTCTAGCTCGGGGACGCGTGATTGAATGGAGTCGATGTTGTTTCGTGTGTGTCGTCTGAGTGTTCTGGTATTCGGTTGGATGTGGTTGCGTCTCAGTGACTTCCAGTACATCTTTGGATACTCATGTCGATCTATACAATCTCTTAAGAAATCAATCTTTGTCTTCGCTACCGCAAGCTTGACGGAGTAACGCAGGAAACCATCCAGCTCCTTCACCGTCACTGGGTCCTTGCAACATATGAGTAGATTGAAAATCCCCATTGAGTCATATGAAAAAGAGAAGACATTCAGTGAAGAGACTCTTTTCGGCGAATTCTATACTATAATATAATATACTATACTATAATAATATAATATATATAATAATATATAATATATATATAATATAATTATAATATAATATATATAATATACTATAATATATAATATACTATAATACTAAATACTATTTATCTAATTGAATTTTAGATTTTCCCTTCGATTGATTGGATCGAAGTTCAGGCATATCCAGATGACGAGTCCCAAATAGGACGAAATGTGCATCCTCGATTCCACTGCTAGTCACCATCCACCAATTAAATTCATATTTAAATACGTTTATGGTTATAATATTAACTTTTCTAATAGTTCATAATGAATTGACACTATATAATATATCATTGAAGACCAGTGAATACACGAAGAAAGTTTAGCCCCTGGGTTGGAGCTAAACAGAAGCAGAATGATGAAAATACTCATATATTCCTTGAAGTTATTATATTATACGCCTAGTGTAGTGAAGATGAAAAATATGGATAAATGAAATCTGGGCTACCTACTAAATCTTATTATGCACGCTGAAATATGCATTCTGAGAACTTCAGAGTTCATTTCTCATGAAAGTAGTAGATGTTTGCAGACAATCGGTAGGAGGCTTTGGAACTAGGTTGGTACTAATCAGCAAGGTGTATCTGCAATCTTGAAGTGACTCATGCCGTTTTGAAATTTGAACCCGGGTCACCCAGTACCGCAGTCAGAGATGTTACCACTGACCTATTCATCTTGATGAAGAACGCAGAAAAGCACTAAATCTAGGTCTAAAACTTCCTGCCGATTACCTCCAACCATTTTAATAACAACAATTCAGAGAGCACAGTGATGGCAAGCCACCTAGAATGGTGGCCGCAGTGCAAACTTGACTGACAGAATTCAGTCTGAAGTAAACAAAGGACTAGATACATAACACTGGTTAGTGTCCAGTCAAAGTAGTACACATTATTGACAAAAACGTAATTATGATGAAATGCCCATCAAAGGTTCCTTCATTTTTCCAGTTAATGACGTTGCGTGATAAAATACACCTTCAAAATTTAAAGTATTTGATCAACCAATAGATGCAGAAACTTTCCGGTACTAATTGCATGCATGAAGGCATTCCAGTATACCATATGTAGCAGAATGACTGATCTGAAAATCTCTCCGTGGTCAATCTATCTACAACATTGATAATTACTTAAATATTTCAACTAATTTTGTAATTATTAGCC